TATATATATATAAAATAAAAAACAGATCCAGACTTTCATTTCAAAAAGTAGGAGAAAAATAGAAGCGATTTCTTAAATGAGAGAAAATAGTAGAACAGAAGGAGCCAAGCAGACGCCGAGTTCATTGTACTTAAACAGCCTCCACCATTACTCTGCTCTTACAAGACCCACAGTCCAATAAATTGCTTGTGGGATGTGGTGGAACAGGAGAGTCCCATCATGGACTGTGTAATGCGATCATGTCCATATGGACCAAAGTCTCAGAGGAGTGTTCCCAGCATCTTTGGAAATTGAAGCCACTAAAACAGTTCTGAGGGACTAACTAACATGGATCCTATTCAGCGTCTGATGAACCAGGGGATAGCAAATATATTAGGGGAAAAAAATTCGCATTAAAACTGAAAGAACAGATTTCAGCCAAGTGCTGCCGTTTTTACGACTCCTTTATTATTTACCGCCGTATTAGTTACACGGCCGCTCTCATTTGGATTATACACGAATTAACCGACCACTCGTTTATTTTTTTTTCAGACTTATTCAACGCCAAGGTACCTTCCTCACAGCCTTAAACTGAAGCTCCACCAGTGTACGAGTGCCATCAGAATCAAATTCGGAGTAAATGCAGTACACTCCACTTAGCCCAGGAGTGCATCGTTGCTGTCAGGTACGTGGTACAATTGACTGAGGATCACACCGAACTGCTTACTCTCATTACGATGCAATCAATAGTTAATTACGAGTAATGGTGGAACGCTCGGGCCTGTGACCCTCTTTGCTCCAGCCGGACCTTCCTCTGCTGCTCCTCTTTGATTAATGGCCTCATGGATTTTGGTAAATAGGGATTTAAATCCTGTCAATTTACCTCATCTTGTCTCGTAGGAAATAAGGGGGCGAGTCGGACGAATGCTGGGAAAGTTGTTTTGCTGTGATTAAACCTCCAGAAAACCTCATCAATTCCGGGGACGTGCTGACTAAAATTTTTTAATTTTCAGTCAATGAGGGTAAGTGATTTTTTTTTTTCCTTTTTCCGTTGCTTGATTAATTTTCTCAGACTTATGAATAAGTGACCTGTCGGTTGTTCTCAGTGAGCCTAACTACAATCAAATCTATTTTTGGTTTGGCTGATTAGAGACACAGACTGAGCCCAGGCAGAGCAGATGACATGGGAAAATATCTAGTTTCTTATTAGTGCAGAATATTGCATCAGATCTGTTGTAGCTTTTGAAATGCTTTCCAAATTGTTGTCCAAAATTTGGGAAAACTTATTTTGAACCGTCAGTTCGTAACATAAGAAGAAGCCACAAAACTAAGGATTAACAAACGCTAAAGTTTATTTGTGAAATGCTGCCTAAAGACGTGTAACAACGCTGACTTTAAGAAGTTCATAGAGCATTTACCAAAAAAGTAACGACGATCGTCTACGGTATAAAAATTGTTGCAAAAAAAACAGTCGTTCTCTCATAACTGTCTAAGATATAAACTGACACTTTGACTTGTTAGCCGTAAACTGAAGCATCGTATATTTATTACAAACTTTTACATCAGAATAAACCTGAGCTGCAAGCAATGCAGATAAATCTCACACTGAGAGTGCAATAGAAAATAGTAGCAATTATTTCTCCGAGAATGAAATGTACACAATTTTTAAAAATATTTCATATTGAATTAATTAATCTTTTATATCAGTTCTGACTTTATTTTTATGAATCCCCCTGTATATAATACCTGAATATTACTGATTGACAACATCATATTTGCAGTACAATTAGGGATGTCCGATAATATCAGCTGAACTATATTATCGCCCTGATATTAGCGTGATTGTGTAATATTTCTGTAATAATCGTTATTGGTTGTTCCTCTGATAATGAAAACGCGATAACGCAATGCCTGGGTTTCGCCAAATGATGTGTGACCTAAAAATAGTTTTGGGGAAAAACGGCTGTAGATGAAGGTGAAAGTCACAAGATGGCAGCATTGTGGCTCATTTTATTAACCTATTTTAATAATCAGGGGACTGTATGCAGAATGCTGGTGCCAGCAACTCATACAGTGGTTTGTACATTTAAATACCCAATATTACCAGGCCTTTATCGATACTGGTTGATATCGGGATCGGAAATTAAGTGTTTAGACAACATATTATACAGCATATTGGATATCGAACATCCCTACTTATATTTTATCTTGTTTTATCACAAAACAATCACAGTTTAGGACAAAAAATATCTTGCGTTATTTATTTCTGTAAAATCATTTAGCTTATTTCTCCTGCGCATGTTTTTCCAGAAACACTGTGATGTAAAAAAACAGAATAAAGTTGTACACTAAAACAAAGAAATGTGCCAGCATAGCGATACATGGAAATAAAATATACATTTTAAGGCTTCGACCTCAGCATTAAATTATAATAAGATGAAATGAATGTTTTACTATATCTGAACTGCAGTGGTATAAAAATGTGCATTTTTATGAACTTTAGTGTGTCCACTGAGGCTCGTGAAGTTCTGACGGACAGAAATTAATTTCACCGTCAAATTTGACGAATCAACATCTGACACATTCCTCTGGTCTGTGTCAGTCCAGACAAAAAAAACCCACAATACTGACCTGTGTAAAGTCCAATGGTTTTCAGTTGTGAGGCTCATTACTGTGGTGCTGGAACTGTTGGCAGTGTTGTTATACTGGCTCCCATCAGTTCCAGTGTGTGTGTTTACGATTGGGTCAGATTTGTTAAGATGGGGGAGCAGGATAAAACACCGGCTCCTCAGCCTATGATCACAGTCATTGTCATCACTGTCTCGCGGCTGCCGTTCAAAACACAGACTTGTAAACAACACGCGGTGCCGCAGCTTCACTACCAAAGGAAAAAGAAACTTCAGTCTAGGAAAAGTGGCAAATGCACTGCTGAGGAATGCTGCGTTCAAGGCATTTTGTTAGTAAACTAAATTTTTAAATGCGGGTTTAGCTCAGTTGTACTACATTTGGCCATTGTGTCGTTTTCGAACTCTGTCAGTGCAATTAGGATACAGTTGAACACCTGTCACAAAACTCTGTCTCTGAGTATTCCAGCTTTTTGTTTTGTTTTGTTTTTTCACTACTTCCGAACCAATCCCATTTGCAAAATGAAACAACAAAAAAATTCAAACGTACAAAAAGGTGAAGAGGTCTCGTCTCTAATACTCCTGCGTATCCGCTGAGAAGTTCTGCATCCTCTCCACCACGAAGAAGCACAGTGTTCCAGTGAAGCCCAGGACCACCATCAGCAGCAGCTGCCACATCAGCAGCACGTACCCACTGTAGAAAAAGGCCACCGCTGCAAAAACAGACTGTGGAAAGAGAAGAGGAAAATAAAGAAAAGAAATCAGACACATCAGAAGCAGTAACACTTCCTCTGTCAAACTAACAGATCCCTGAGGAGCATCTATTTCAGCTGACCACTCAATAAAACGTCCTGCCAAAACAGTGAGCGTCCACATGCAGCTGATCGGCCGTATCTGATGTGTAGCGTCCACATGCAGCTGATCGGCCGTAACTGAACGCAACAGCTCCGAGCAGATGTGTTCCTGGGAGCAACACTCGGAATATTAACATTTCAACAGCCTGTGTAAAAACCAACTCAACAATGCGCATGTAAAGAGTGAAGATTCTCTGTGTTCAGCTGCTCTAGTAAGACAGCAGATATTTTTTATATTATTTATTATATATGATTTATTCGTGCTGTATGTATATATACACATACATGCATAGTATATAGTATATGTATATATATATTTCTCTATATATACACATACATATACTATACTCACAAATATATACAGACCAGTTCAGTCATAAAACAATTAGTGCTCATTTGGGCCAGAGGGAAACAGCCTAAGGGGCTGGTTTTGGCCCACGGGCCGTATGTTTGCGACCCCTGATTTAGACTTTTTTTTTTTTTTTTAAACTCATCTTTTCTATTTTCTATCTCATCTATTTATTTTAACATTTAGCTATTTCTTCCCTACATTTAATTTTTGGCATTTGTTGCATAATGACTGAATTTTGTGCTAATTAATTGCTGCATTTATAAGTTAGCTTTTCCCAATACTGTACTGGGCAAAATCCTGGCTATTTCTATTATTTTGGCTAACTTTTCGCTATATCTGTGCCCATTTTTAGCAGGGTTTTTTTTAGCAGTTTGTGGCTAATGTTAGATGTTTTCGTTCATCTTTAAGCTATTTCATCAGAATTGTTCAATTATTATTCACCAAAATGTAATTTTGTAAAATGAACTGTAAAATGAACTATATGTTGTTAGTGCCGATTATTTATTTATATATTTATATATATATTTATAATTATGTTTCGTTTTCGTGATCAATAAATTAATACTCAGATATATGCTATTCCCAAGGATTTGAAGCACACATATAAATCACAGGTTATATTCAACTGTTTTATGTAAGAAACCCCAACTGGGATAGATCATCGTCTTAGCCTGTGTTTGGTTCCTCTACCAAGGTCTGAGAGAGCCGAAAACCTGAGATTACCTGGATGAATTTGAAGATGGCAAAAGCAGGCGTGCTGTGTTCAGCATAAATACGGCCTAAAATGCTGTAGAGCTGCGTGTTGAAACAACTGTCCCCAAGTCCGAGCAAGAAGCTGCACAGCAGAGCAATGGATACTCTGGGGAAGAATGGGTGAAGAAAGATTGTTTTTATATTCATCTGCAAATATTTTTACATGGAGTTTTTTGGGGGTCCTGATCAGACAAAGGAACTACCTTGGAGTGAGGTATGTGTTCTGTTGGATGTCGGATTTAAAGATGACGGGGGCATCGTTGGGGATGCTGAGAAAGATCAAGTAGAAAGCAACAAAGTGGACGACCATCGCCAGGAACACCACGGAGGTCCGTCTGAAGTGGTTGTTCTTGAACAGCAGCCCAAACAAACCTCCACCTGATCGAGGGGAGCCGAGCCGACGCGACCCTTCGTCAGTTACAGTGACCGTGAACAAACCGGACGGGCTGTCAGTAGAAAAAAATTTCAACTTACCCACTATTTCTCCGATGCCTACCAAGATCCCAGAGATGCCAATCAAACCTTTAGCCACCTGTCCGAACTCTGCTGTAGCTGCGATACATGTCCCGTACACTCCGCTGTAGAAAGACAGTTCCAGGCCTGGAGGTCGAAGGAGAAAGTCCCTTGAAAAAATGTTATTTTACATAGAGTTCAAGTCAAAGTAGTGAACCCGCCTGATGCTACTCATGAATTGTGTTTTGTTGGAGAAAAGACTGCACCAGAAAAAGAGAGTTCTGCTTTGAATTTTGCCTTTATAATCTTCTTCATAGTTCCTTCCAAACTCAGTGTTGCCAATTCCAGATGCACTGAAGCATCTTGTTCTCCCAGCTGTTTCACTGTGGGAACTGCGGTTCTCCCCATTCTCCTCTCAGAAAAATCGCTACATTTTGGTTGTTTGTTTACACTGCTCAGATCAGAAATGTTTTTTTATCTAATGTCTTTTTTCATATCCATTTGTCCTGATCAGTACAACACATAAAATGTCGTAATTATCAGATTCTTACGTTTCTGATGGTACCTGAACGCAACTCGTGGTACAGCAGAAACAAATGTAATAATTATTGAATAGTAAATACAATAATTTTGGGAAAATCTTCATATCTAATGAAATATATTTTTACGAAACATTCTTTGCTTTCAAAATGTATCGAGCGTGCCGGAATGAACCCCCTAGCGCGTTGTTTCCCAAAAACTGGCCCTCAGGTGGGGCGCAAGAGTTTTTTGGGTTTTTTTGGGTCGTCTCGCATCATGTTTCCCAGGAGTTTACGAATAATGTCTATTGACTTGGGTCGCGAAGGTTTGGGAGTCCCCCAGAAAAAGGTTTGGGAAACACTGCCCTCGCGGGCCGGTTTTAGCTTGCGGGCCGTATGTTTGACAACCCTGTCTAAACCTAGTTCTCAGATTAATGGTCATAGTTTTTGACTAATTGACTAATGTGTCTGATTTTTTGGGGTTTTGTGAAATTAATTTCTATTTATTTCACCAAACCCCAAACCAAAAGGGTCCTGAAAAAGGTTAGGTTACTTACCACTGTATGCCATGCAGGGACTCAGAAGCAGTATGTTTTTTGTCTTGAGAAGCTGGAGGACAGTTTCTAAAAAGGACAAACCAATAAGACTGGTTAAGAACTGCTCAACAATTCATTTTACTAATCGCTTGCAAATAAAAATGCTTACATCAGTGTACAAGCTTCCCCTGCGACAGCTAGCTTTAACTGAAGTACAAAATGAAGAACTAAAAAGTCTCAATGAGCCAAAAGCCTCAATTAGGTAGAAAAACACCCGCTTGAGACGTTAAGGTGTTGGAAATTCAGATTTTAAAAGAATAAGCCCCACTAGGATTTTCACACCTGCTGTCAGTGCATCTGTGCAGCAGTTTCCAGTTGACAAACAGATATAATCTGAAATAAACTCTCACACAGGCAGCTTCTGTGTTGTTCCCTGTTGTAAAGCTAGAAGATTTGTATCAACGTGAAAGCAATTTTCACTCCAGGAAAAACAAAACCGTCTGCCAGATTCACCCCCAACACCAGAAAAAAAAAAAGAGAAGAAAACTGAAGGTTACCTTAGTCTGCAACTTCGAAAAAACACACAAACGAACGCAGCTCTCGCAGGTCTTTACAGACATTTTTTTAGGGATTTTTACAAGAAAAATATAAAACAAGATTCACCCCCAACACCAGAAAAAAAAGAAGAAGAAGAAAACTGAAGGTTACCTTAGTCGGAAACTTCGAAAAAACACAAACAAACGCAGCTCTCTGCACATTTTGTCACATTTTAAATAAATCCATAAATATGAATTGTTTCAATAGCGTACCTTTCAGGTTGAGTTTAATATAAGATTTTGCTTCAATTTCTGCGCAGCGTTTGCAGTGAATATATTTATAAGAAAGGTCACGTACGTCTTTCCAAACTATATTCAGTTCTCTATGTAGATTGCGTGGTATTAAAGGTCGGAATCAAATTGACACACAACATGGTTTTGTCATTTTGACATTTCATAGTCTGATCCAATAAAATACTCAACACCCTAGATCTGAAGGGTAATATAAACATATATATATATACATATAAATATACATACATAATGAATACAGAGTCAATACCAACATACCAAGTACGAGTAAAAAACATTGAAAGCTCGAACGAACTTACTCAATTCTGACTTTGCATCCTGCAGGGCTGCGTTTGCTCTGTGTTTGTACCTAAACAGGGAAAAATGTATATATTTCAACATCTTATAAAAGTGAAATGTATTCACACACAAAGATAGGATGTCCTTTGAGTGAAAAGCTGGCAAACTTATTTACAAGTCTGGGAAAGTTTAGCTTCAAGGAGACATCAAGACTTTGTAAAAAAAAAAAAAAAAAAGAATCCCAGCAGAGTGCACAGAACAGTACTTCCACAGATAACAACTGCTCCCAAATGGTTTGCCTTGTTATGGTGCTTGAATCATGCACAGGCTGTGGCTGAAAGCAAATATCTGCATCAAATAGAGTCCCAAAACAGTGTCTACAAAACCATAGGAGAGACAGAAACAACCAGGGAGAACAAACAAGACTTCCTTCTATGACTGTGTTACTTTGCTTTCTACAGTTCTATTTTCTCAGGCAGTGTTATAGTCTTGAGTCCGTATTCATGATTTGCATTTGCATTTCTTCAAAATTCGAGTCACAAAAATTTAAATAAGTCCGACTTCCACGTGGAGGGCTGTGACTGAAGTGGACCAAGATATTTTAACCACAGTCATTTAGTCTGTTTTTGTCCCATTCCTCCAAAATCTCAGTGATTGTACTCTTTTTTGGAAAGAGCTCTGATTAGACAACGATCTGGAGAAAAATGGCCAGGTTCACTTTTTGAGAAGGAGTACTTCATGTTATCGCTTACCCAAAAAGTACCTGCCCAATTTAAAAAATATTTTCCATCTAAAGCAGAGGGGTGTCAAACATGCGGACCATGGGCCAAAACTGGCCCGCTAGACTTGCAGACTTAAACAACTAATATATCATTTAAGCGTAATCACTAGGACATGCTAGCAACAATGGTCAGCTGGACCACACTTGACAATCGTAGCCTCAAGTAGCTGTCATGTAGCTAAAGCTAACTGCAATTAAAAAGACAGTTTTCGCAGCGGTTACTACAGTATCAATTATGGCTAACCACTGACCACTGGCTAAGGTTTATTGTGGTGTAAGCAACAATGAGCTAATGGTTAGCATGCGTCACTCTCTGTAGTTATTTCCGCTGTATAAATCGGGCCAAGATTTAGACTGTTATAAATGAATCATGTGACTTAATATTTCACTGACATTGTGCGGTTTGAGAGCAGCAACTGTCCCTCCTCTTCAGACAACATCTCTTCTTGTTGCCTCTTTCTCAGCAGAAGGAAACTGAGCGTGCCTAGAACGGAGGTGACGAGCAGGGACAGAAAGATGTTTTTTCTGCTGTTGTCTGGGGGAAAAAATAGAGAAACATACATTCCATTGGTAGAGGAAGACATACTGACTAGTATTTTATTATGTTTTTGTCTTTACAATCTCAGCAGTGAACCGGTCCTACCTGACACATCTGGTTTCCCGGTCCACTCAAAGTAAATGTAAAGATTTCCAAAAAGCATGCTGAAAAGACACAACCTTGTTCAGTCGGGGGTAGAAAAGTAAAAAAAAAAAAAAAAAAAGGGTTTAAAAGACATTTACATCACATTTCATGGCCGCTGGGTAACAACCTGACACTCTGGGACTAAAATGTTCCTTTTTTTTTATCTGCCTCATAAATTTTTTTATTAACACTCACCTCAAGGCTAATTCACTTTACTTCATAACCGTTCTTTAGTGATATGAAATGTATATCAACTGATGAAATTAACTGAATTGAATGAAATTACAGATGTTGCTATTATAAAGTTGGACATAAAATAGAGAGTATTAAAAAAAAAAGAGTTTCTTATTCACGTGTTCACCCTGCAGCTTACATTTTTAATTAAATCTAAAAAAAGAATTACCTCTAAAAAAAAGAAAGAATGAATGTACTTTTGAAAGTTGTGCAAAGTGACTTTGACTTTTGAATGCGATATAAAGTAAACACTGCCTAAAGCTGTGGATCTTAACCTTTTTGACCATGAGGCCCAATATTTATATAGTACAAAGAGGCCCGGTGCCTATTAAATATTAACACATATGTAAAAGTTTAACTAACCTCACTCATGGTTTGATTTGTATTCAACAATTAACTAAATCCACTAGCATTTTAGTCATTTTATACCTTCACAAAAATGTAATCATTTGGAAGGGTTCGCACGATTCATTTTTCATTTGAAAAACTTCTCCATAATTTTGTCACAGCTAGTGTAGAGAAAAAGACGGTCTTCTTGGCTGCCTATTGAAGCTTGTTAAAGAACTGACTAATGCATTACTGTCACCACATGGTCAAAAGTTGCACTTTAACTGAGCTTCTCATGAATAACATACAGTATCTCTGGTGTCTTCAGTTGATAACCTTTGCAGTCCCGCTGCCCACAGGTGGCGCTGGCGGCCAAGTGTGGGCCTATGGTTAAGAATCAATGTCCTAGAGCAGCGGTCCCCAACCTCTGTTTTTGTACCAAGGGAGTTGAGGACCGCTGGCCTAGTGTACTGAAACTATTGTTAATAATGCACAGTCGCACTTTGTCCAGACCAAGCCACTTTAAAAAATATTTATTATAATGTTTGTGTAGTATCGGATTATGAGCAATTTTTCATTACCTAGTAATAATGTCTGGATTCAACTTAACCCTGCTGCCACCAAATGGTCAAAAGCATCAATATATGACGCGATAACGTGGCCCTTGTCTTGTGCCTGTCTGCTGACCTACAATAATGTGACATTTGGAGGCAGGTTTTTACCTGATAAGAATTTAATCCACTCTTCTTCCATTTGTCGCACTAAAACTTGAACGAGCG